GAATTTTTTTTTACCCTTTTATCTATAGGTTTTTAATGCTGTGTCCCTGAGGGCATGGTCAAAAATCACACGACACCAGGTTATAGTCCAGCAGATTTATTTGAAATCACAAGCTTTTGAAGTGCTGCCCTTTTGTCAGGCACAGACCTGTTGGACTATAACGTGGTGTAGTTTTTGACTTTGTCCACCCCAGTCCAACAACAGCACCTCCACATTGTGACAACCTGAAGACATGGTCCACTTTTGACTTCCAGATGAAATGGTAGATCAGCCAGGAATGAGGAATAGGTCAGACCTGTACCACATACAGTAACACCTAGAGCACCTACCAGCTGATGACCAGGTTCTTATTCACAATCGAGAGGGAGCATCACTCCCACATGCTCAGTTTTTATTGGGCAATGATTATTCACTCCTGTCAGTTTTTAACTTATGCCTTGGCCACTCCAAACCCAGTGACTCTGGGGAAAGTGAAGGGGATAAAGGATTGGTTATCCTAGTTCCCAAAGAATCAAGCCTGACTTCACTTTAACGTAGTTCCTGAGGCCGGGCTGATGTGGTCACAGATACTAAGCAGGCTGTGCACTGACAGCGGAGCTGAACTGTAAATGGTGATGTTGTCCATGTACAGGGAGACTTTGACCTGAGTGTCTTCACTACCTCGGGATCTTCAACCCTTTCACCCTCACATCTTTCTTGATGGACCCAGTGAAAGGCTCTATATGGCACACAAACTGGACAGGGCAGAGAGGGCTAACTCCAGACCCAATTTTAAAATATTCTGTTTGTCCATTGATTGAAACTGTGTTACTGATGTTTCTTTAAGGCAGGTGTGTCCAATGCAGATTCCTCTCCCCAAATCCTGTTTTGGAGACAGCGCCTGTATCATGTAGGTGTGTGATATGTTGTCAAAGGTCTTTACCTGGGCCAGGCTGATGTGAACTGTGTCCACCCCATTGTCTCACCCATTGGTAAGCGTATTCAGAACGCCACTACCATCCCACCTCCATCTGAGTTAAGGTCTGGATAGGAAGACCTGTTTTTACCTTGCCATCTCACTGCCCATAAAGTCAGAGCTATTATTAATTCAAATCCCTTTAAAGTGTTAACAGAATTGATTTAACAGTATCGTATCATGTTTACTGGATTAATCTTTGTGGGTATAATTGGATCCCTTTACTAGAAGATTTATTTGGGAGCTTTTGCAATAGTGATTTCTGTTCAGTTCACTTGGTATTCTGCAGAGTCCTGAAGCCGTCTAAGGGATCATGGCTATGTAGAAATATGTGAGATTTTACAGGAGCCAGAATTTCTTCCTGCTAGCTGCCCAGAACCTTAATCCGAGAAACAACACTCACATCGTTATTAAAAGCTCAAATTAAATAGTGTAATGTAATATTAAATGTCTGGAAAGATCATGCTTAATTCTATACAAACACTTGTAACTGATCCTGAAATGCATCAGAGAATGGATTTTCCAGAGCACTTGCTGGATGTGTTTAGAGTAGAAGCGGGTAGGGGAATGTATGCTTCTTCAGATTGCCAGCCTATTGCACTTCCTACAGGGTAAGTGTAGCCCAGAGGGACAAGTAGTACAATTTGCGAATGATGCATGCTGGCCTGACTTATCCTGAATACTCAAAATGAGGCTCCTGTACAAACAACGCATCCATTTCCAAATATTACTTTATTTGTTGTGGCTTCTCAGGCAGGGAGGAAAGAGACGTGTGGGTGGGGAGTGAACATGCCCAGAGGCCCACATGATGTATTGAGAACCTCAAGTGGTCAATTATTGCCTAATTAAGGCCTACAATTCACTTCCACTTCCATAATACACTTGGAAAGTGGGCACGATTGAGAGGGCAGTTTTTAAATACGTTTGGTGATTGGACATGAAACGGGGGAGGCACATAATTGGGAGGGAGCCTTAACACTCCAGTGGCACTACTCCCAGGATATTATCATCTTTTGAACCGTGACATTTGGCCTTTAGAACCAGCCATCTCCCATCCCCGTGCCCATTATTCCCGTGTGCCTGATTCCTCCCCCAGCCTAAATTTTCAGGACATACCGAGGTCCCATGATCATCCACAACCTTCATGACCCCACGCAATCCTAATAATGCCCACGACTAAAGAGCTCTTGAGTGCAGGACTTCCTCTGCTGAGTGGGTGGATGTCCACCTGGGAGCTCGTTTTGACCGTTGGGAGTATGTTAATGTTGTGTGGATGGTCTTTTCTATCAGCTTGGAACCAACAATTATTCCAGAGGAAGGAGTAGTAGTCCCTTTGTAAAATCCAGCCCCAGATATTTTGAGACTGCCAGCTTGGAAGAATGTTCATTTTTATGAAGCAAAACACTTTCATTCTCTGCTAAAGGTGTTAATTAACTATTCATTTACAGATTCATGGCTTTCAGAAGGCCCCTGTAGTGACTGTCATTGAGTAATTTCACATGGAAGGCTTCATAATCAAATTGACTGTATTCTTGTCTAATGTCCATGCACATATAGCTTCAGTAGAGGGTCAATGAATATTAATTTTTTAGTGGAGATTTTTCAGATAGGGTTTTTCATCCTATTGCCGGTTGATGATGCCAATACTTTATGTGAGGCTAATAACATTACCTACAGGATGAGTATAGTCCAGTCATCCTCTGGTTAAATTCTCTGGAGCTATAAGACTAGTAGTATTTAAAAGTACTTTCTCTTAGGATTCCAAAATTTGGCTCGAAGCTAAACCTTACTTTGTACAAAAAGGATAAAATTAAATATTTGTCAAATATTGTCTTTTGAACATGACACAAAAATGGACCAAAAAGCTGCTGTTCCTATATTGGAGTTGAACTGTGGCTGACCCTTCAGCTATCACCATTATACTGCTTGTGAGTGAGTGAGTCTGTAATTAATGACAACAGCAGGAGATAAATCCCTACAACGATTCTCCAGAGGCTGCAGACCTACAGCAGAGCCATCCACTAAAACACTTCATCCTTTTTTTTAGGTTTCAAAGATTACAAATTTGGATTTCAAATGTGCTGTAAATTCATATTCTGATTCAATTTACATGACATCTTTCTCAAGCATTTGATTTCTCTTGCAAACTTACGTACCAAAATACTTACTAACCCAGTTTTTTATATATATGAACAAATATTAAGAGAAATTAGTTCTTCCCAAACAAATTGACCACTATACACCAGGGCTCACCATAATCATTATCAGCAGGGTTACCGCAATTGTGTTACATTGCTGGTTGAAGGAAAGGAGCTGTTAAGCATGCGATGTGTACCTTAATTGCGGCTTCAAGTTGTGAGCTACGCATGAGAAATGGTTCAGACCATCCTTCACCAGAAATGCAATCCTCTGTTAATTTCATGATGATTATGCAACTCAGAAATGGACTTTGGAAATCAACCTTTCGGCTGGACATACCTCACTTCAGGTAACGGTATGGGTATTTTGCAAAGTGGATCCGTATTTGTTTAATGTTGGTTGACTAACGTAAGTATATGATCACAAAAACCTGAGGGAGCTGCATGTGTAAGTGATATAAAAACTGTAAAAGAATGATAAATTGGCATGTTTCTGATTCATTCCCAGTTCCATATTCACATTGTTCATGAAATAATATCCTTCCCTAGAGAGCCCTGTACAAACTCACATTATTCATAAGTATCAGCTTCTGTGTTTCAGAAGCTTTTGCTAACAATAGTCCTTTTAAAAATAAATGCACGTTAACTAGAACTGTAGTACAGTTGTTAAAGTTATAATAACATGGAGTTATAACGATAATTTGGAGGCTGCGTATTACCAATTTAATGCCCCAATTTAGCTAACACTTGCTGATTGAACTTTGATTAGATCTTCTTGCTCCGTGTGTATTTAGTTGAAAGCTCAATTTAGCTACATCAGCTAAATCATGGAGCTGATGATTGGTATAACCAAGTGTATGGAGCAATATATCATTTGAAGTTAGCTGATTTCAGATAGGACAGTGGTAAGTGTATACGATCATTTTCAAATTTTCTGGGCTAGAGGGAGGAAAATTAATGCTTCCCATCACTGTCCAGAAAACCAGCCTGAGGATGGGTCACTGGACCCGAGACATTAACTCTGCTTTCTCTCCACAGATGCTGCCAGACCTGCTGAGATTCTCCAGTGATTTCTGCTTTTGTTCCAGAAAACCCTTGCTGAATATACATGTCAGTAGAGAACACGGTTTGTCTTAGCTTTGATACCCTCCTAAAGCAAAAAGTCAAAGCTCAAGGTTCAAACAGTCGTGTCTTTGTCAAAGGGATGAATGAATGTTTTATTGTCACACGTATTTTACAATGAGGCGAACAGTAAAATACAGTGACAAGCTTTTCCAATTTCGCCACGATCCTGAATGCTTTCTGATAATTTTCATCACTTGCACTGCAAGACTTGCATTAACAAGACATACACATTGTTATTAAGAACTGCATAGAGGAAAGAAACATGATTAATATCTAGCAGCTAACATGGAGCAATATATGAAACAAAGCAAGTCATTCCCAAAGCATTGCAACATAGAAATAGAAGTAGGCTGTCCAGCTTCTCGAGAATGTTCAATCATTCAATTAAATCACAAATTTATCTAACCTTACAGAATGAATATTCATCAATCCCAGTTTTGAAATTCTCAGTTGGCCTAGTCCAAAAAGCTTTTCAAAATAGTTGGTAGGATATATATAAAATAGATAAATAATGCCTTAAAAAAGTCACAACATTGTGGACATGAACCTGTAAATATTAGAACAGCATATCATTACAAAAAGCAATAATGCTTAGTGTGTAATCCAAAGCACCTGTAACTGGCACTGGTGTCCAGTGTAGGGGTTTCCAATTAGTGTGAATATCCTCCCTTGGTTCCAACAATGATTTTAGTAATACAAAATCTAAGTGCAGCCCAGTGTGTCACCAGTTAAGGAACAATTCTCTAAACAATCTGTGCTGATAGCTGTGAATATGTAATCAAGTGAGGTTGTTCCTTCTTCATCAGTATTTTCTTACTCTTCCATCTCTATCTTGTCCACCACTGCCTGTCCAGATTGCAGAGCTTTAATATCTAACGAACACAAAACACAAAGCCAGGATGGTGGGGCAGTATGTAGGGTGGAGTGAAAGCAACATCCTGTGCCTACTCTATCTGCAGCTTGTAAACCCAAAGAAATTATGGATTAAAGGTAAGAGGTCTGTGAAAAGGAGGCCTACAAAGGAGGAAACTATCATCTTTGATGGCAATGCAATGACTGCTCCTCTAATGGCATTAAGAATGGCAGACATGGCTTGTTCCTCAATGAATGGGGTCCTGCTGTCTCCAGTCTTGCAGGCAAGATGAAGCTGTGTGAGTGAACGGCTCGGTGGTTAGCATTGCTGCCTCATAGCGCCAGGGACCCGGCTTCAATTCCACCCTTGGGCGACTGTCTGAGTGGAGTTTGCATGTTTTCCCTGTGACTGCGTGAGTTTCCGATGGGTGCTCCAGTTTCCTCCCGCAGTCCAAAAATGTGCAAGTTAGGTGGATTGGACATGCTAAATTACCTTTGTGTTCAGACATGTGTAGGTTAAGTGTGTTAGCCATGGGAAATGCAGAGTTACAGGGATGGGGATGGGTGCGATTCGCTGTGGACTCGTTGGGCTGAATGGCCTGCTTCCACACTTCCATAGGGATTCTATGAGCATGGTGCAATCTGTGATGGTCACATGCCTACCATGATGGAATAGCTGGTACTGTGTGCAAGTTGTGATATGTGTGTGTGAGGCTTGCAATAGTTATAAATGCGTGAAGGTGAGGAGAGGTTCTGTGAATCATATTTGATAGAGATTGTTGGCAGATGATTAAAAGGAGTGTGGTAAATTCAGCAGTTTCTGAGGTTGGTTGAATAGATGGTAACACTCATTGAATACTTACATGAATTAAATGCATCTAGGGGATAGACTGTAGACATTGACTACAAAGCTATCTGGTTCCACTTCTTTCACATTGTCTGCCTTGTGTATCTTCTGAACAGAGACCATCTTTCATCCTTTTCACTTTCTGCGCCAAGATCTCTAGTGCAGTATCCGAGAAACATGGAGCACATTCTCCCAGTTTTGCATGAAGAATCACCAGGGACTATCTGTAAATATTTAAAGTTACTTCATATGGATGCATGAAACTTTCACAATAAAATAGACAGACTAATTGCACAAATAGAAATACATGCTTTAGATCTAATTCTGTTACATGGATATGAGGTGACAAAGGTTAGGAAATAAATACTCCAAGATACTTTTTTTTAAAAGACAGGCAGAATTGAAAAGAAGGACAAGTAGCTCTGATAATAATGGATGATTAAAGGATATTAGCAAGAAAGAACCTTAGCTCAGAAAATCCATAGGCATCTGCACTTCCTCTCTTAAAATGATTGCTGTGGGGTACTTTCACCATCTGACCTGATTAAGTTGCACCCATTTGAGAGGTGAGTAATCTTTTTGGAAATCTGAAAGATGAAAGCAGGTGTACTGACCAAGCTTTCCTCATCTCTCACAATCAATTGTCCCCTTGACAGTAGACTACCTCAGACACCTGGGATCGTTGAACTGTGTCGTTGATGACTGCATCCAAGGCCTTACACTCTAATGAGGACTTCACTAAAGTTGAATATAAAGTGTTGGGATTGTGCCATATACTGCCACACATATCATTCCACACGTACACCCAACCTTGTGAGTGAGAGCACAGAGTCAATGATGATTTCACACATCTCTGAAAGGACAGCTCTAGTTAATGTATTGGCTTTACAAGGGAGTGTCCTTCCATTCCAGGCTGGGGTATGAACATTGGGCAGCTCACACGTCCACTGTCCTCATAGCACAATGGCCTGCGATATAAGCTGTGCAAAGCACTGCCTCTCAGAATCCAATAACAGTGAGGACAGTGAGCCAGCAAAACAGCCAATAATACTGAGGAATCCTTCTGGATGGCAAACCAAGAAGTAGATACCATTGTCTAACACGATGTGCAGCTGGAGGAGCACAGCAGGCCAGGCAGCATCAGAGAAGCAGGAAAGTTGACGTTTCGGGTTGGGACCCTTCTCTAGAACTGAAGAGGAATCCCAGTCCAAAACGTCAACTTTCCTGCTCCTCTGATGCTGCCTGACCTACTGTGTTCCTCCAGCTCCACACTGCGTTGTCTCTGACTCCAGCATCTGCAGTTCTTGCTATCTCTGAGTAGATAGCATTGATTATCCTTCCCATTTTAATCATTGTACAGTGGTGAAATAAAGATTGGAACTTAAGGGAAGGCAATAGCCTAGTGGTATTAATACTGGACTGTTAATCCAGTGACACCAGCAATTTTCTGGGGGCTGTGGTTTGAATCCTGCCACGGCAGATAGTGGAATTTGAATTCAATACATATCTGGAATTAAGAATCTAATGATGACCGTGAATCAAATTGTTGAGAAAAATTGATCTGCTTCACTAATGACCTTTGGGAAGGATACTTCCATTCTTGCTTGGTCTGGTCTATACGTGACTCCAGATCCACAACAATGTCACATGATTCTCAACTGTCCTCTGAACAATAAGGGACGGGTATTAAATGCTGGCCTAGCCAGTGACACCCTCATCGCATGAGTGACTAATAAAACAAAATGCACAGGGATTAATGTAGAGCTGAAATAATAAAATGTACTTAAAAATATTTTTTACTGTTTTAAAAGTCTACATATTTTTATGATGATGAAAATATTTGATGTTCCAAAATTAAAACAAAACAGTTTCTCAGGGTCAGAAACGTTGTTCAGAAGTAATTATGTCTTTGAATGTCATTAAAATACATAGCTAAACTTTATTCAAAATCAAAGGAATTTGTGAAGTTTTTTTTTACCGTGAGACCAATAGGATTACAAGTGGAAGTTTATATCAATTCAGAGATTCCTAAGATTTCCATCAGTGAGGGCTTCAACAGGATACTGTGTGATGGATCGGGGGAATCATTGACAGAAAATTCAAGTTTTCCATGTTTAACTGTGGCCACCAGAGTTTGCTGTGAGTTTCGTAGAGTAATGAGAGCGCACACTGACAGCTTTGTCACCAGAGTACAGCAAAATCCGATCCGTTATACAAAGGCAAATTGCTTATCTGTTGATAAAATGATGATGCTCAGTAATTATGTAAAGAGAACATAGATACGATAATGAACTCTTTCCATGCTGTCATGCAAGGAACATCATAGAATAACTTTAATGCAATGTTCAAACATCTTGTTATCCTAAGAATATTTGGGACGAAACTACAAGACATTGGGTATTTCCAATAGTATTGTTATCTATTCAGCACTGGTTACAATACTTTCAGCTCATAATTAATAAGATAGTAGTGATGATTAGTGGTCATTAGTGCTAATTTCTGTATCTTCATTCCTGTTTTTAAGTTGTATATAAAGTGGTTCAAGAGCTGTTTGAGAGATTAATTGCTTCAAATATTCCAGAAATGTCTTTGTTTTGTTTATCATGACAGTCTTTATTTGAAACAGATGAAAACCTGCATTTCAAAACTTTGTGTAATTCCATACAATTTAATCATTTTGATGGTCAACTTCATCAAGTAGGACAAGGAGCAACTTTCGGCTAACGGCAGCTAATGTAATTCAAAATGCCAGTACACTAATTCAATTAATTATTTTGATGCTTTAACAATTAAGAAATGCTTTATTTTCAAAATTCTAATCCAAGTCTTAAAGAATGATTTCCCCTTGTGGAATGATTTGTGGAGATCTTAGACTATTTTCATAGAATACTTAGCAATTGCTTAACGGACATTTCATTAAATGTATTGTTTGTACATTTATATTTGTTTCCCTTATCAGCTTAAGGAATGCTGGTGCTGGGACATGGGACATGTTTTCAATTTACATGCCCATGATAGCATCAAGCAATTTTTGAGTCAGTCTTGGAATGAGCAAGTAAGTTGCAAACCTCCCTCCACCTTGAATGAACAAAATATCTCATCACAGAAGGTGATTTCAGCAATGTGATTTTTAAAAAAAGAATTCCACAACCTTTGTGTGAGAATGTCAAGTTATTTTGTCCCTTATTGTGACTTCACAGATAGCAAAGGGCTAGGTTGATAGCAGTGGTGCAAAAAACTGAGGGCTTGAGGAACTCTGTAATTATGTCAGTGAATAAATAATACTAAATAACTCAGCAAGTCATCGCTAATTGGTAGGTTTTGAAATATTTATTGATAAATACTGTGGCTACCAGAGCAGGTCAGAGGCTAGGAATCCTTTGTTGAGTAACTCACCTCCTGACTCCTTAAAGCCTGCTATCCAGACATCAGGTACATGCCATACCTTCAGTGTCACTGGGTCAAAATCCTGCAAACCCCTCTCTAACAACGTTTTGGACATACCGACACTAACTGGATTACAGTGGTTCAATTAGGCAGCTCACAATCACCTTCACTGAGGCAATTAGAGATGGACGATAAATGCTGACCCAGCCATTTAAGCTTTCAAATGGATGAATGAATGTCAAAAAAGTAAAGTTCAGTTTCTGGTCAGGTCTGATTTTACGTTTTTAAACAGCATATGAGATTTATATTGCAAAATAAGCATTTATTCACAGTTTCCCTGTGAATTATTAGTACATTATTTCCAAAGGGAAATGCATAGACACATTTGTTATGATAAATTGTTGACTGTGCATTTTCATTGCATCAGAAATCAGCAGCCTCTGACATACAAAATGATGTAAGTGAGCAGCCATGTACCTAAAAGTGTCCCATTGCAACATCATTATGGAGATATTTGATGAATTAGAGATGATTCTGCTCCTGTAAGCGTCAGGAATTGGTAGACCAGCAGTAGGTGCAAATATGGAAAATAAAGGACTTTCTGGCTGCCAGCCAACATTAAATCTTAAACTCATCTGGCTGCCAGCTGTGGGAGACTCAGGTTAAGGGAGCCAATGACTAAAGAACAACAAAAAAGCTGCATCAGCTTGGCACGATCTTTATAACCTACAAAAGCATTTTATAGTTGGCAAACTTCGATGTCTAAAAACTTGGAGATAGCAAGAAGTGCAGATGCTGGAGTCAGCGTCGATACAGTGTGGAGCTGGAGGAACACAGCAGGCCAGGCAGTATCAGAGGAACAGGAAAGCCAATGTTTCGGGCCTAGACCCTTCATCACAGCTGCCTAACCTGCTGTGTTCCTCTAGCTCCACACCGTCTAAAAACTTGAACAGATTGTCTTTAAAGACTAGATTGAATGGAACATTGAAGGTGTCTTTACGCATAAAATATTTAATCTAGGAGGAGTTGACTCTTTGACCTGCTCTCCTCCTTTCACATTTTCAATGGGTGCTGGACCCTGTATGGTGTTCAGTTTCACTGTAGATGCTCCAGGGTTAATTTTAACTGTCTTGCCAGTGGGAATGAGCCATTTCGAAAGTCAGTGTGTTACACCTAATTTCATACTCCTGCTGCATTCCTTCTTGCTGTGACTAAGGTTGGGATTTCTAGGTGGGCAGTCCTAATTGTGATATGCTAACCAAGATTACAGAGCAGAGCTCTAAGAGCAACTTTTACAAGCCCGTGAAGTGGTTCAGAAACACTTGAAAATCTACCAAATGACAGACACACGTTTGGTAGCTTGAAATTTTCTGGTAGGAGACAATGGGCTGAATCTTGATGTATGTTTGGCAAAGTACAGACTGTGTTGAGTTCTTTTGGAAGTATTACTGCCATTAGGCCTAGTGATAGTCCTTGCCTAATCTTACTAAACTTACCTCATTAACTACGTACCCCACCCCTATGATGTCCCTCATGTTCGCTTCAATCTCTACTTTACCACTTGCTCTTCCCAGAATAACTCACCATGAGACCTGAGATGACAAATATTCAGTCAACTCAACTTTCAGCTTTCTTAGCTTTGCTTAGACTGAAAAGAGCAAGGACAAGAGGGTGAAGCAGACTGTGGATGAGCATATAGTGCCTGAAGAGGGGAACCAGGATCTTGTGTGGTATCAGCAGTCTATGAAGCAAGGATTTACAGAGACCAGTCCAGCTGCCTGAGGCTGAGTGACTGTTCCAGAGACATTGTCACATGATTGGAGACACTTTCACCTAT